AATTAAAAGCGAAGACCGGGAAACGGAAAACGGGAAACGGGAAACGGAAAACCAAATATCAAATGCGGCCTGGCCTAATAGACAAGACAGGGCACACAGAATGAATACGATAAAATGTGAAGAGTATTTTGTTATACGAAATCATGAATAGATTTCGTAGCTGGTTGTCTCAGTTTGTGTGTCAGTAATGCGTCGTTAAACTGTAAAAGACCGTAAAAGCAGAGGCCAAAGAAAAAATGAAACGAACCCATAAAAAATGAGTAGTCTTTGGTGTAGATGGAGCAGAAGCCCAAAACGCTTCGTTCGCCACAAATGAGTGAGAGAAGCGGGCAAGTCGGAGCTAGCAGCCCAGCTAGCAGCTAGCAGTAAGGCGAGTAAATCATTTTACAATGGCACCCGTAGGCCGGTTTCGTTTCTGGGGAGCTGTCAGCGCCTTTATGGCTTTCATGAAGGACAATCAAGTAATAGCCGACGATTTTACGATGACACAAAACTACATAATAAAAGATATATCAGCGCAAGCGTCTAACTCCAACTTTGACCAATATCAACAAGCGCTGAGTTCTATTCCCCTTTTAGAGAAGCGAACAGACGAGAATATTGCAGTCGGGTACACGCGACTCCAATATACTTGCCTATCGCAGAAAACTTTAAATATAAATCTCGTGCTGAATTTATTCTTAACAAAAATTGATTCATTGTTTTTAAATCGGATAATTTTGGTATACAAAATGAGTAGATATGTAAGACTTAAAGCCTAAAATAAATATAGTATAGGGCCTATATCTGTAGATCAGGATATAGTAAACAAAGAAAAGTAAAAAACTTGCAGTCGGCTATAATCAACTATATAATATTTATTCTCTATATAAGCATTATTTTGACCAATATATTTTTTATACGAGAATATTTTAAATTAATTTTAAAGTTTTTCAGATCTGCCAAATAGTGAGAAACAGACTACTGAGTCTTAGCTGTTTACTACACTGAAATATATATATTTAGATCTGTTCCACTTCTCTTGTATTAGATAAGAGATATATCTCTGTGCAGTTTGTATGCTCTCAATGGTTTTAGTCAAATCATATAATACTTTTTTATATATATAAATAATAACCAATCTCTATGTGATAAATTAATCTCGAAGTGACAATTTCTTTCTCTTATATTTGAGCAAAACCAACACACCCTTCTCTGCTTTTATTTCCAGTGTATTGAAACGAAAAACTTAATATACTTATGTACTAGCAGCTAAATCGTTAACTTTGGCACGCCAATAGATGCGATGCATGTTGGCAATCACTCTTCGGCCTGTTGGGCTCATTTCTGACAATTTTCAATTTCTATACCCCTCACGCCTCGCCCGCTATATCGAAATGGATGCGTGACACGCAAACTAGTCGCCCGTTTTTAATACTCTTTCACCTTTATTCCGGCTGGCGCGCGATAGCGCGAAATTATTGTCACCTGAGTGGTCAACACCCCCGACCCACCTAGCTGCCCACCCACAAGCTTACCACCTGCCCTCGTCCTCACCCTCGCCCTCGCCCACAACCTCGAAAGTCTCGCAGCACAGTGTGAAGTGGGGGTACATTAGTCTGGCACTTGCAACTTGCAACTGAGAGTAAAATATCTAATATAACTTATCCTTTGCCAGACTCGAGCTGCGTCTTCTCTTTCGTCTCTTTTATCAAATGAACAAATAACAACGGAAATTGGTATAAAACTTGAACAAAACTTTAAATTGGTCATTGCACTTGCACAGTCTTTGCCACGCCCAAAGCATTGCCGCCTTTGTGGATTGTACTTTTGAGACCAAACTATTTATGTATGGTAAAGTGCACACATAATAAATATGTATATATAAATATCATATATATAAATTATATATGCTTTTTTGTGCGCGTTTTCTTTTAATATGTGTTTCTTAAATTTTCTTTTAATTGTTATTATTGTCAAACACTTTAATTACTTTAAATATATTTTTTGAAGTTTTTTATTTCGATTTTTTTATATTACGTATTTCATTTACATTATATTATAACATGTGTATATGTATATAAGTATATAAGTAAACAACAATAAAATTGTAGCTAAATATTGTATTTAAAATTAAATAATACTTTAAAATATATATTAAAGTTCTTTCAATTGTTAATAATTTCATTTTTATTTATTTGTCAAAGTTTTTTAAAATACTTACTTTTTATATACTTATTAATTTTCAAAAAAAATTGTAAAATATTTTTTTGTTTTTATTTATTTTATTATAATGACTTTTTTTTTAACATGGTACATTGCATAATGTGATTTTATTTATATATTATTAATCAACGTTTTTCCATGTATAAAAATAGTCATTCTTTGTTTGTTATGCTATAGATAATTTTATTAAATAATCAAATTTTTCATCAATAAACTTCTAAATATTCCGTTATTATTTGTATAATTCCATTCAATATTTATGCGACATATGATTTCAAAATAAACGATAGTAACTTCTAGGGTATCACTAAGTTTCACATGCCTATACACTAGCGTATGTACATACATACATGCATACATATATATAAACATTTCTATATGTATTTGCGACAAACCGACTTACGCGCAGAGGGCTTTAATGCTTCTGATTTCATTCCAGGATTTTTCCGTCTCTTGATTGACAGTAATGGCATTTTTGCGACTCGTCGAGCGGAAAATGCTGAAAAGCTGCGCGCTGACACGACAACGCGAGTCAATAATAAAAATTGCATGTTGAAAGCACATTTGGGAATCCCAAAGTCACACACAAAGTCAGCGTCGCAGTTGCTGTTGACGTCGCTGTCGCTGTCGCAGTCGCAGCGCAGTCACAGTCACAGTCGTCGGCGTCGTCATCAACATCGCTGCGGAAGCAGCGCAGTTGTCACCCCTTAGCCGGCAGAAAAGCGTAAATGAAAACCCTTTTGGCCGCGTTTTCCAGTTAATTTATTTTTGGTTAACTTCCTTCGTTTGTTATTTTAGTGCCCGCCACTTGCTCTACCCACACGTACCCACTCCGAAATAAGCAAAAACAAAAACCATATCATACCACGGCCGAACCATAATCCAACCCATGCCCCAGCATTTATTGCACTTTGGCAGGAACGCACTCAAGCAATTTATAAAGCGCAAAGGTTAATGGCAATACGTGAAGCACAGAGCAGAAAACCGGGCCGAGAGGAATACAGGATCTACGCTCTACAAATTAAAGTTATTATCTGGAGCTAAATGAAAAAAGAAACAAGTAAGAAGACTCTAGTCGAGACTGCTCGACTAGGAGATACCCT